TAGTATGCTGCAACAACGTCTTCTGAATTCGTGTTTGGCACTTGCAAGTGCTACAGCAAGACAGCATCATAGTGATGAACTCCACTATAGGCGACATACAAGTGCACTGTCGCATGTGTGTTACCAAATTCTGTGGCTGGATAAGCGGGGCGACGGTGACGCTGGCGGCAGTGGCGCAAGCAGAAGCCGTGTGTGGTAAGTTCGTCTTTGTATACTCCGTCGAGTTCCATTTTTCCAATGTAGGCAGCAAGGTCCCTGTCAAAGCGCCGCTGCAGTTCAGCAGTGGCGCAGATTGCTCTCACACTCTGCGCACACGCGGCGGCGTGGGTCATGAGTTGGGCTTGTTGGCTCTAAGGTTCAGCTAGTGAGCGGAAAAAGCAGTTTCCATCACCTTTTACATCTTTGATGTGAAGATGCGCTGGAAGTTGCTGCTGCAATCGCTGGAGAGTAGCCAGGACCATTGTCCAAATCACGCCAGGCACACAAGTCAAGGTCGACAGGTATACTTTGTAAAGAAGTTAATAATTGTCTTAATTCATGGATGCGCTGTCTCAGCTGGCTCCACAGGTTAGCCTGATGGCGGGCCTCATGTGTGCACATATGCTCATTGTCACCCTTTGCCCCTGTGGCATCTTTAAGAGGCGTGTTGGGCAACTCGGGTGTGCGCTTCTTGGTGGAGGCGATCTCCTTCTTCTGATTGCCAGCGCCTGCAGGGCATTCATGATCTCGCTATGATTCACATCTATTTTGTTCGCAAGATTGTCAATGCGAGCATCTTGCTTGGGAACCCGCTGGGCAAACTCTTGCACCTCCACCCGGAGCGCAGCTACTTCGTGTGTGCTGGAGCTCGTGCTCAGAGTTCCACGTGATTCCTTTTTTTCTTTACCATCGAGATACGTCTGCCATGGGACTGCTTGTGTCTGTGGTTCCGCAGCAGGTGCTTCTTCCATGATTGAGCGGCGCCCTTGCTGCCGAGATGCAGCCACTTTAGCTTCTTGCTGCTCGTACTCCTGGCTAATGTCTGCTCTCGTGGCCGTTTTTACTATGATCAGCTTGGTGCCGTCGGCCATGCCGAGACGTGTTCGGCCTTGCGCCTCATGTGCGGGCCGCCGTCGCTTCAGGTGCGTGAGCCTTGGTTACCCTTGCCCCCAATCTCTGCTTGTTGGCCAAGCCCGGATGTGGTGCGAAACTTTCGCGTCCATATCAAGACAACAAGGTATGGCGGCGCCTTTCATGATAAACGGTCTGGCAAACCGCACTGGGTCTTTGCTGTCTGTGCAGCTTATTGGCTGCAGTGGTGGCAAGACACAGGCACGCCTGCAGACAGTCGTTTTGCAGGGTGTGATGCCACCTCTCGATAACTTGATCGATGACAGCAACACTCAAATGCGTGCCTGTACCTGTTGCTTTGTCTGGCTGTCCGATTCACACACAAGTGAATTCCAGTCGTCCGCTGAGCATCTGGCTCTGTACGCATGTATCCACACTGTGCTCATGTTGTCTCGGCATGCTAGCACATGTGGTTGCAGCGTTGCTGCCTGGATGGCCTGGGAGCCCAACTTGACGCATACCACATTACGCACAAACAATTGGTCCTTGATGTGTGGTGGTGAAGGTCTTCAGCATGATATTAATGTCAGCAGCTTTGTTTTTCTCTTTTACATCTGTAGTCAAGCGCCCCGGGGTCACTAGAAGAAGATACTCTCCCCCTTTAACGGCAAGCTTGTTTTGGAGCGAGATGCCGTTCACGAGTGCAACGCCACATGCTCCATTCTGCACTCGGTCCATGGGAATCTCAAGCGAAAAAACAATCGATCGGCAGATCAAATTCTTGATAGTCAACGAAATTGGCTCCTGGCTGTTCGATTGTGCTCTCCCATCGAGCCCTCTCTGGAGAATTGCTGTGCATAGCATGGGCTTTGCGGTTGCGCTGCTTGCTACTCAGGCACCGCAGACATGTTCCGTGGTTTTGGTCCCTGCAAGGCTTCATGCTGATACGCTGGCTGTACGCAGAGATAAACATAATCAGGGACAAGACAAGGCGGGCAAGATCGGGATCTGCAATGCTTGTGCGAGCCGACACGTCTGTTGCCAACATGGCGACACTTTTTAGCTATTCTTCTGTACTTGTGAGGAACATGGCTCGCTCTGCATAGGCGTTGCAAGATTAGGATTCTCACAGCCAGGCCCCAGCGCCAGCAATGTTTTATCGCGTGCCGCATGCATAACATGGCAAAGGCGTGCAGCCCTCCTCTCCAGGTACAAGCACAAGCCAGGCAGAGCATCATGATGCAAAAGTGTGCACACCCAACCATGACAGCTTAAGCTCATTTTTTGCGAAGAAATACTTCTACGGTATCACAGAATGTGGCCTCATAAACAAGGGCTGCTCTTTGGCGAATTTCTTAGAAACCGCGCTTGCGTGACGTTATCGTTCTCGAGTCCTGGGCTTTGGACCCTTCGTGGCTTGCAGTGAGGCTCTTCAGCACAGTCTGCGCTCGCTGGACTCGCTGAACGTTCTCCGCCAGGCAGCCCTTGACAGTTTTCTTGACAGCCGCAGCAAATGCCCAATGGCATTCCGTCAGATCCTGAGCACTCATCGAGGCTGTCACTAGAAGCTTGAAGGGTGAGCTTGTGAAGCAGTTGGCATGGCAGGAGAGACCCAATCCTTAGGAGCAGAAGACCCCGAATGCGAAGGCTTTCGACCGCCAAAGACCACATGATTCAAGGTTTGGGCTCTTTGCATGTTGGACACAGGGCACATCCTTCTTTCATCCCAGTACCTGGGGCCCTGGCACCGGGATAATTACAAAGCACCTGGATTCTTCATGGCTCTTACATGGGATCGCCCCTGAGTTTTGGGTATGTTTGTTTTTTGTCCAGGGATCCATGGAGACTCCAGGCACGCAAAACATATTTCACCAAATACCGCAGGGCTCCGGATTGCTCCCATTCGACCCTTGCAAGGGAACCAAGAAGCCATAAAAAATAAATTGCTTGAGGTTGATACTTGCAGCATTTAAGGCAACCAACCGTACATGGTTTGTCAAACACTGCCAAAGGTTGGTGTGTTGTATTTTTGGTGGTACCCCCCTTTAGTGGGGTTGAAAGGGGAAACCAAAAGGGAAACCAAACCTCTTTGGGGTCCCAACCCTCGGGAGACCTGACAAAGCTGAAACCTGTCAGCTATGTGCTTAATCCCAACGAGCGAAGCATTTTTCTAATAAAACCCAACCTGTGTCTTGAAATTGCTTTCCGGCTAGTCCTCACCAAAGCATTTCAGGAATTCCGAGCAAGGAGCCTTCGTGGGGAAGGTCACAAATCCTCTTGTGACACTTGTGGGTCAAAAACCCATAAGCAAGAAAATGACTGTCTTCCATCAATCAAAGTGCGCCTTCACATGCGTGCCTGCAATACCCAACTCGCAATACTGCGCTCTGTTTATGCGAAATGTCGAGAGTCCCCGAATGCCCCTCCCAAATGAGCCTTTTGACCCAATCTTGTGGAAAGAACATCATCCCACATCCCAAACTGGATGCTTCCCAAGACCCCGAGCTCAACTTTGACTGGCCGGCAAGAAACCAAACATTGTCCTACTGTAACAAAGCCTGGAGATTCAATGGTTTAATCAAACAGCTGGCAGGCAAAATTCGTCTGTGTATGAGGGTCTCAAAATTAATTGATGCTTCGTTCGACCATGTTGTTTGTAAAAAATTCTATAAGCCTTTCAATTTCCGCCGTTGAAAGGAGGTGAACGCCTTATACCTTAGTTTAAAGCCAGCTTGGCGCAATCGGTCCTCTGCTGCGATCCTCTTCTGACAGCAAGCTGGGGTTCAGCCTGGCTGAAAAAAACTCACATCATAGGAGCCCTCTGTTTTGAGGCCGCACAAGCGCAAATAATTCAGATCCTTTTGGCTACTTTCTTACTTTCAAATCAAGGAGATTCCCTTGATCTACACAAGGTCAACCAAAGAAAAACAATCTCACTATGCAACGTATAATAAGTCCTTACATGAAATACATGCCCCACCCCCCCCCCCACCCCCCAAGAAAAAAAATCGTGATGGGCAACATCGCAAACCCAAAGCATTTGTGAGCCCGTGCTCTCGTTTAAATTGAGCAACTCTGTCAAAAGGATATTATAACTTCGCACATCGCAAAACCAGCAATCATCGTCATATTAAAAATTATTAGTATGACACACGCAGGTGAAGATATCAAAGGTGAAAGCTTCCGCGAAACCATGCCCTAAGGTCCCGCTTGTCCTCGAACAGAAGCCTGTCGCAATTGAATAAAGGGAATCCAAGGATTCAGTTTGCAGGTGCCAGTCCCTGCTCTCCATCCTCTCCATCCACCTATTCAACTTCCCAAACCTTGGCATGGTAGCAAACAGCACCCCCCCCAAACAACTAAAAAACTGAGAAACATGCAGTTCGAACAGTGAAGTCAGGGGAAGAGTTGTAGGAGTTTAGAGCTTGGCGACCTTCCCCGATTGAAAGGCATCAAGTCAGACGCGAACTACCTCGCTCGGGTGATGGAACATGGTCAGACGATATGGTAAACACTCAATGTGTACCTACGTCAAAAAAAGGAGGCACGCTGCATCAAATGGGTGTGCCTAACGTGTGCTTTGCTGGCTACTGTCTCAACAGGATTTGGCAGAAGGATACTGATGACAATGCTGTGTCCTTCTCCCCCCACTCCTCCCACAAGCCAAGATGTAGACAGAACATGTATTCCAACCTGATCCCCCCCCCCCCCAGGAGAAAGAAACAAGTGATCAGAACATGCATCCCACCGTATAATTATGCCCCCCCCCCCCCCATTTCACAAGTGTTTGGGGGGGGGGGATGGCTTGCACATCAAAACCGACCAGGCTATGCGTCAAATTACGGATCCGAACCCCCAAAACCGATCTCGGTTTTCCGTTTGATTCCTCTTCAGCCAAGCTGAGGGTCCCGAGCCAAGCGACTCGCGCAAGCTAAGACAAAGGGTCCAGCCTCATGCCGGTCGCAGGGCGGCGAACCTGGGGCTGCAGGCTGGAACCAGGGCCAACAATTGCGGTTGCCCATGTGTCAAAATGAGGGAACCACTGACATGGCGGTTTTATGTTGGTCTCCAAGTTTAAACCGCCACAAAGGGTACCCTCCAAAACACGGAGACGCACAAAGACACAGAGACGCACAAACGTTGAACATGTCTTGCTGCCCCAAGAGGGCCCGGGAGAATGCTTTTGGTTGTTGTGAGGGTTTTATGAGCCCCCGTATCCCCCCGATTGACCATAGGCCTGCCGAACATTTCGATCGACCCTGGATCTGGCCAAGCGGAAGAGCTGACTCTCACCTGCTCCATCCTGTGGAACGGATCCTTCACAAGAACCACCTCACAGACTACTCGAAGACGGATAGAACCACCAAAGGGAACCTGGAAAGTCAGCCCAACCGTCATTTGCTCAAGTGCCTTCACCAGGAAGGAACAAGGGAACACAACATACTATATTCTTGAGCAAATGGATTCACTTCCTGAGTGGATTGGCCCAGTCTAGAAACTTAGGGAGCGAGTCGAAGAAAACCCGGCACTTCCAGTTACCAGTAGAGTAGGTATCCCTTCGGTATGTTTACCTCAGGGTCTTACCCATGGCTTCGCCTGGATCCTTTCTACATTGCCTGGAGACACTGGGAAAAGGAAGAACATAGCGGCCTGTGTTTGTTTGCGGGTACCCATGTTTTGTGGTTTTACAGTGAGCAAAGCCAAAAGGAACACCATTTGTGGTGTCCCCTAAACAAAGACAGAGCCATCTTTGGCTGCTGTTGACCCCTCTGCAAATAGTGTTCAATTTGTTTGCGGGTTCAACTCCACACACACATAAAGTCCAAGATCTAAGCAAATATAAATTTTGACCAATTTGGATCATGCAACTCCTTAGCTAAACAAATGGTGGTTCCGCCAACCCCCTTTGTTTTAGTGGTCTTGCTGGTGCGATAAGCAGGGAATGAGAACTGGAATGATCCCAAGAGAAGCCGTCCAATTCCTATGACCTCCTGAACCGTTCGGGGATTCCCAAAGGGAAACTAGGAAATGCTTTTGCACCAGCAAGTGGTTTGCAGCCCCGGACATACACTAGGTCCTCCAGAAGAGAGGGTAGAAAAAGTTGGTACCGACTTTGTTCTGTAGTCTATTTTAGGAGGGGAACCCTCCCAACCAAAAAAGAAACGGTAAAAGTTGGCACCTAGCTGGGGGACCGAGTACAGCTTGCACTCCTTCAAATCCGAATCCGCCTGCGCCGCGATGGAAGAGATCTCCGTGGGGTGGGACAGCTGGAGCTTCTGCGGCACCGAGTGCCTCGGAGACTCGGAGACGACGTGTTGGGTCCCCGGCATCTCAAGCCCCGCAACTTGGTTTTGTTGGTACCTGTTTTTGCTTTGAAAACATGTACGTTTGGTACATGTTTGAGTTGGTCAATACTTTGCAGGTATTTTTGAAAGCAAACAAAGACACCTACAACATATATACCAAGTACTGTGGAAACACCTGTTTTCAATTATACTTTAGTATATTGGAATTGTAGCTCATATCCATGCTTCAGTGTCTAACTGCAAATGCAAGCTACATGAAGCGATTAGACACTAGAGCTGGTGTACTTTTATCTTCGGCTCCCTTTTGATGTTTCCATCCGGTGGCCAACCGAAATCCAAACCCCCGAAGCCCGGAGCCCGGCGGCCGGCGGCGCTGTTTGGTTTCGGGGCTCCGGGCACCATCTCGGCCAGGCCCAGGTAGCGGTGCACGGCGCTGGAGGCGGTATCCCCGCAAGTCTCCTTTGGCACCTTGCCACCTGCAGCTCCAAAAATCCATGGAAAAAGATACCAAGGGCCGCCCGGTGGTTGGTAAAAAACAAAAACAAAACGGAAAACTGAAAAAAGGAAAGAGAGAAAGGCAGAGAAAGAGAGAGAAAGAAAACAAGAAAGACAGAAAGCAAGAAAGCAAGCAAGAAAGAAAGAAAGACAGCAATAAAAACAGAAAGAAAGAAAGCAAGAACAAAAGAAAGAAAGAATAAAACAAAAAACAGAAGGAAAGGGTTGGTGGTAAAGTGAAACCCTCTCCCTTAGAAAGAAGTTGAACGGGGACAAGACCGGACTGGACAGGTACCGTTTCCGCCTGCAGGCAAGCGAATGAGTCCCTTCCTAAGTGAATTGACCCTCCAAAAGTGGTCCCACCTCCTTTTCCTCACTCCCTGGGTTGATTGGCCCAAAAAAGCAACCAAAGTGTTCCTTGCCACTACATGAGGAAGCAATCCAAGAACCAAATAACTGAAAGCGGATACGGTGAAGCCACAAGCACAGCCAAAGCAACCGAGCATCTTTTTCCCTCTGAGTTACAAGTAGGTCTGGTTCGGTTGGCAGGAAATGAGTTGGAATGGCCCCTTAATTACTATCGTGTTTAAGCATGCGACTGGTCGCTTCCTTTACAAGGATCCCCAGCTTCTCATTCCCAGCAATTGCGCGTCCGCCATCATTTCTGGCAAAAGGCTAGAAGCCACAGCCCGGGTTCTTGGAAGAACCCTGAAGAACCCGTACCCAAAGCTCCGATGAGCACGGAACAACCCCCTCAAAGAAACAATACCCCCTCCCACTGCAGATTGGTGAAGAAGAACCACAATCAAAATTATGAGACTCACTTCCGGATTGAGTGGATCAGCGCGCGCTCGCATCCGATCCACCTTGGAAGGGAACGATGAAGCCCATCTCATCCACCATGGCCTCGTTCCCAACCAGGTGCAAACCTCAGATAATGCTTCCGTTGAGTCAAAAAGACCTGGTACCGAATGGGGCCCAAAACCCGACATGGGTCTACCAAAACACATGTAAACCCAAAAAGGCGGCCGCTCCGATTTCTGGCTGGCACTTTCCCTCCCTACCTGTTCTTGAGTTCGTGGCTCTTTTGCCCCACCCTTTCTTGAAGGGGGATGCGGTCCCCAATTCCATAAGTCTTCCCTGCCAAACAAGACAAATGGGACTAAGCATGGAAAATCGAATTTCATCGCCGGTTGGCCCACATCTGTAGTCTACCACACAATACATCGCGAACCTCAGCGAGCCCGCGCAGCAGGGAATCTACCCCCAAATTATAGCCTATCTTGGAGGAGATCCCAAAATCGTACAACAAAACCATGCTTACTCTTCCGTCATTCTCACAAACCACAAGCCCAACAGGCCCAACATCAGATTCCCTGCGGCAGACACCCGAATCCGTCCTACACCCCGGAGCTCCGCATGCGCTTTTCGCTCGCACATTCCGCCTCAGGCGCAAGGGCCAGCGTCGGGATGGCAGGAACCGCCGCACCGCAGCGTTGACTCGCAGCGCCTGCGGCTTGGGCGATTCCACCAAGGGCTTCTGCCTTGAAAAGTGGGGGGCCCCGGGCCCCTCAAATTCCATTGTGATTGTTTCCTTCTGGTTGGCCTTTTTGGTAGAACTAAACAAAATGCACCACTTTTGAAGCACGATATATGTCACCCCACTCAAAGGGCACGCTTCTACCGCCCCTGTAGTATGTGCCGTTTAGTCTCTAGGTGCAGCAAATCCCAACCTGTGCGGTGAGAGCCGGCTTCGACATCTGGCTGAGATGAGCGCCCGGCTTTGGATCACGAGAGGAAGCGAAGGTCGCATTCAGAACTTGCCCGAAGCATGGGTTTGACCCGAAATTGAAGGAAGCCTGGATGGACTTCCTGTTGGTTTTCGTCTAAGCCATCCCGTCTAAGCCATCCCGTCTAAGCTCCCCAACAAGGGTTGAGGCACTGACAAGAGGGCCGTACCCATCCAGTTGGACAAACCCAGAACCTCACAGGATCAGCTTGCTTGATTCGGCAGGGTTGTTCCAGACATCAGCTTACTACCCCGATGTGGTGTTTGGATGGGTGATTTGAAGGCTGGGGTGTGCCTTCCCCAATGCTTGCAAGTGAGTCTTCGGCCCTGGAATTTCAACCACAACAATGGTTGGGCTATGGTTTACTGGGCTGTCCAAACTGATCTCCTGCTAAAAGTTTAACTTTTAGTGGGTTAAATCGAAATTCCCACTAAACCCCAAAAGCCAAAAACCCAAGGGGAGGGCTGGGCACCCTCAAGTTTACCCAAAGTTTCACCAAATTGGGTCGACCACTAGTTTTAAGTGCTGGAAGCCTGGTTGGTCCTGAATAGATCAGCTTCCCGTGCTTGGGATTGCCCATTTATCCTCTGGCAAAGCCAGGGACCTGTTCAAATCCCACCACCAAGCTCCAAACCATACCCGCTTTTTGTCAGGGTATTGTTGGGAAAGCCTGGCTTTCCAGAATAAATACCTCCTTTTTTAGTAGAGGGTCGACATGATACCCTGAAAAAAGAGGCCAAGTCTTTGGAGTAGGGGGTAGGGCTTGGTTCCGAACTTGGACCCTGGCACAGGGAGCAACTCGCGCGCGAACCGGCGCGAATCGCGCCTGGATTACCACCCCCGGCGAGGCGCAGAGCTGGATGGCCGAGGGGTCGGAACTCACCGCTCCAAGCACCACCTGTCAGGCGCCGGCTTTTTGGGGGGTCCAAGTAGAACTGCTCAAAACCCGGTACAAGAATGGTGCCCCGGAACCAGGTAACCAATTAAAGAAGGCGGCCGCAGCTATTTCTGGTTAAGATCGTCCCTTACTAACCTTCATCTACCCGGGTTTTGATTGTCACTCAGCTGGGTTGCTCAAACAGGATCCCTGATCGGTAATCCATGGCAAATCTAAGGAGACCATGTTGTTTTGGGCATATAAGGACTATTGATTGATTTTGAAGACCCCAGCAAAGGTGTACGTGAGGTGCGGAAATCACGTGGCAAATGCGACGTCGCCAAGCCACTATGGTCCAAGCCCCAGAAGTGACAACTTGAGGCCCCCGAACTTTGGCGACAAACCACTACTAGAGGTTCGGGCTAAATAGAGGTCCGGCGAGAAAATACATTCTCTGTTGGTTTTCCTTTGAGTAGATAGAATAATTTAGCTCCCGCTTTTGTCTGTTACATCCCAGCCCATGCTACATCCCAGCCCATGCATGTGCTTGAGTGTCGCATTATTTTAGTGGCGGAACCCTCCGTCTAAGCCAAAGACATCAGGTGCTGGCACACTTCTTATAAATTGATAACGTTGCTCGGGTTTGCTTTGAAGGTTGACCAACCACCCTCAAAAACACAAGAAAATGGTCCCCCCAATCCATGGCAAACCCCCATTTTGATATAGTCACCTATAATCTTAACCAAACTTGCATCATCTAAACGTTCATTGGGGCCCCAGGCAAAAAAAATAAATATGTCCAGTAGTGATGAGTTCCTTTTAAAACCAACAAGGGAAAATAACAACAACTATTCTTAAGAAAATGGAGGTAAATTGGGTCCCACGGCCGGTGTTTTTATGGGTTGAATGTCCGCTTTCCGCCTCAGTCTTGGTCCTCAGCTTCTCGCTGGCAAAGCGCAGGGCTTGGCCCTTGCGGCGCACGGCGCTCAGCACCAGCTCGGTGTCGTTTTGCAGCTCCTGGAGACTTGGGGCGGGGTGGCGTGGGCTGGGTAGGTTGGTGGGGAAGGTGGGGAAGGTGGGGTGGGTGGGGTGGGTGGGGTGGGGTGGGTGGGGTGGGGTGGGCAAGTTTACCTTATGCGCACTTCAAAGATCACCGCGATTCAAGGAAACTCGCTTTAAGAGAAGCAGGTGATGCCTCAAACCGCCAAAAGCGGATAGCAAACACTACTTGCTGACCCATTAGAGAAAGCTCGGCGGATTCATAGGGACGTCTGTCACCCCAAGTGCCGCACTGCATGCAGAACGCTCTGAGGGGTCTGAAATGTGTGTGTGTTCTCCGAGCGCTGGACCCTCAACCCAGCCTTACAAAAGGGATATTGCAACCCAACATGATGGGATCCAGGGATGCCCATCGGTACCCATTTCACCTAAGGTTCAATGGACACCAAAAGGACAAATGGAATGTTGCAAAGCCGAATCCCAATTCGCACCCGTCCTTAGATGCAAACTGAAGGGACAGCGGGTTGCTGCACACTGCAGCTTGCACGATCTCCTGAGGCATCCAAACTCCAGCCACTCACACGAGGCATCTCGTCACACGAGGCATCTCCAGTTTCCAAACTTTGGACCACTCTGAAACCAGCCTTCATGTTTGTTCTTGCAACCTATGATATCCGCAAGGTTTGCGGGTCGCACGGATTGATCATATTCAAAAGCCGAAGCCCGGAAACACATGACTTGGGATCCAGGGGATTTATAACCATCCACAACCCCATCCTTCCCATCCATCCATCCACCCCGGGGGTAGTTGCTCACAAATATGTTCAAGCTCTGTTTCATATTTAGTCCACCCAATAAAGCATAGCTTTTGAGACACCAGGTATGTTCAATGCCATCCCATTCCGCCCCGGGCCTTCTCAACTCCAAACTCTAGTTAAAAAAGTCGGCCAACCATAGGGAGAACCGCCACTTTGGGGGGTCCATCCAAAAAACGACACGCCCGGACAGGGTTTGCTTTTTCGGCTGAAATGAACAGCTTCCCTCCGAATAAGGGTTTCTGCACCAGGGGTGCGCACTTTGATCAACCCCGAACAACGGAAAAGGCAAAAAGACGCGCCCAGACCGACCCACATCGACCCCCCGCCCCCTCCCCCCAAGCCCCACCCCCCTACCCCCTTCAGAGACCCGGGCGCGCCTTGTCCTTGCGCAGCTCGAACTCCGCGAAGGCCAGGGCCCAGCCATTGCGCCGCGCCGCGCTGAGCACCACATCTGGCGGCGAAAGAGCGGCTTGAAGGCTCTGTCGGTTCAGGGGGTGGAGCAACCCCGAAGGTTTTTGTTGTGTTGTTTTCTTCGTCTTTCTGTTCTTGTTGTTTTCTTCTCTCTTTTTTTGTTGTGGGGGGTGCTGAAGGCTAGGGTACTTTGTAACCACAACATAGCTATAATCCCAACCGTTTGGGGAAACATGTGTGGTGTGGGAAACACAAACCAGAAACAACAAAACCCACCACGAAACTCTTCGTTTCCAGTGAGCCTTAAGATGAACTCATGTTGCGTTCACATAAACTTCATTGATTACCATCACAATTCTTCATGGTGACCCACCTTCCCTTTCATCACCTTGTCCTGTCTTATCGTTATGGGATTTCTACGCTAGGAAAGGAGGTTGACACATGGAGAGAGGGGACATGGTCAGCGTTCCTATGTCAAGCGATTTAAGGGAGCGGATGGAATCTCTGCCAGTATCCATTATATTTCCCACGGCTTTACATAAGACCTGTTTTTTTGCTGTACCATCCTTGGCTTTAGTAATTATACTTCAGTATGTTTCCTGCTTTATTCGCAATAACTCGTCTTAAACAACATCTAAAGTGAATTGATCTCTTATCTGGTTACCTTCTTATCTCATAAAAAAAAAGACACAAGAAACGAGATAACGAGCTAGACATAAGATCATAAGATCAAATATGAGTATTTGATGATCGGAATTCCTCCATCTATATATTCTCTACCACGTTTCTCTACCAACGCTAACCCGTGAACAAAAACAAATAGGTGGTCTCACTCATCCCTTTCGAATCCTCTCGGCTCCAGCGGAGATTAATTGACGGAGAAAGGGAGGCGAGGAAATAGAACACAATCAACCCCTGTTTGCCAATGTTCAGCGAAGCAACACAGAAAGCCCAACCAAACATCAACATCCGGTAAACGTGACCACCTTTTTGCCCCAACAATTCCAAAAGTGTTGCTGTTCTGTTGGCTGCAAAGGGGACGCTCCCCGCCTTCCAAGACACCCATAGAAAAATGTCAAAGGAACAATTCACTACTTCCCCCGCCAAAAAAACACGAACACACACACACACAAACAAACAGACACATATTCCGCGCCGCCATATTTATCTCCCCCTCCTGGGCCATTTGCCCACCCGCCCCCCCGCAAGCTGCCTCGGTCCCGTCGCAGACTCTCAGAGGCGAACTCCAGTGCCCCGGCGTCGCTCTGCACCGCAGCGAGCGCCACCGCCTTTCAATTCATCATGTGATACTGGATGAGTTGGCGGTTTGGATTGACGGTTAAGTTGAACGCCGGCTTCTTGCAGAATGAAAACCAGCCCCGGAACACCTCTTTTCGAGGAAAGCCGAGCACTTGCTTAAGTCCCCTGGAGAAATACACATGTTTTCCAGCAGTAACCTTTTTCCCTTCAAAACCAACAGGGAGAAGCAAGACCCTGGTCACCGGAGCCTCCATTGAAGGTGTCTGGATCTCCATTGAAAGGGGGGGTGGAGCTCAAAAAGGACCGATTTGAGGTTCCAGGTCCCATTCTGCGAAACTTCTCTTCCCCGCCTTGTCTGCCCGCAGCGCTGGGGAGGCAAACTCCAAGCACCATCCATCTGCAGGTTTCGACGGCAAAAGGGAGATGAACCCCCAAATGCCCAGTTCCTGGCCCACCCAAAAAAAAAGGAGAACAACACAAATCAGACGTTCAGTTTGCGTGGTTTATATTTTTATCCCGGTGCTTCCAGCAGCGCTTCCAGTTCTTCTCAACCGTTCGCCAAGACACGTGGCCTTTCGCGGCCCAACCATGGCAGAACCAGACTGAAAAACTAAACGATCACGGCCAATCGCAGGGAAGTTGTAGGTAACCCAGGGGAAACCCAGCAAAAACCATGATGTAGGACTTGTCAGGAAAGAATACCGGAAAGATTACCGGAGGTGGAAAACTTGGGACTTGAGCTTTCCCTCAAGCCATCCCAAAGCCCAATGTTGAGATAATTCTGTTGGCAGGGCTTCACTTTGCCACCCAAATGGTCCGAACTCAAGTGACCAAAGTTCAGAAACCTGGGAAGTGAGTGATCATCCTCAACCCAAAGCAGTAAGGGGAGCCATGGGAGATGGACCCAAAAAAAGACTATCATCATCATCATCATCATCATCATCATCCTCATCATCGTCATCGTCATCACCGTCACCCCTCACCACTCAGCGTCTCCAATCAGGTCGTTTTGGGAGAATGAGTTACTGGTCGGAGTCCAACTCAAGTTCAACACCCACTCAAGCGCTCTTCCTATGGCTTCGTTGGGCCAGAGAAGAAACCAGAGGCACTTTGACACCATCCCTCCGGGTCCGCTGCTGCCCCGAGCTCCGGGGAAGCGGCTGGCAGAAACCGCCGCCAGGACCAGCTCCTTGTCCCCGCGCAGCTCCTCCGAGCCCCCGAGCCCCGAGCCCGCGGGTCTGAGGTCTCCGGCGGATTTTTGTTCCGCCTGCACTCCGAGAAGGTAGCGCCCCAGAACCGCGCAGAAGGGGTCATTTCCCGGAATCTGTCATGCTTTTTGGCGTGGCTTCTTGGAGGGTACCCATTTTGGGGGTGGTTTGAAGGGGGCTGAAACGAATCTGTCATGGCCTACCTGACGCTGAACATCACTTCTTTTTTTTCTGCTCCCCTGCTAAAAGTTTAACTTTTAGTGGTTTGATGCAAACCCCATTAGTTGGCCAACAAAAATACAGTAATAATATCCAAGCAACATGCACCAATTAATTTGGTCGACTCGTGCGACCCTAATCTCCCCGAGCTTGTCGCGAGCGTCGCTCCTCGCCGAGGTCCTGTAGCGCCAGCATGCCACTGGCGAGGCCCTCGAGAAGACCCGGGCGGGCGCCCTCCAGACCTCCCGTCGTGTGAGTGGCTTCCAAGTGGGTGTGTGTGTGTGTGTGTCTCTCTATTTTCCAGGTTGGACCCCGAAAATGGCGTCGGGTGACTGCTGGTTTTCCGGAAAAACAAAAACTGGCCATGACCCAGGCGGACTTCAAACACCTATCCTACATCCAGAAGCTGGGCTTGAGTTGTCCAGGCATCTGGCCATGACGTGTTCAGAGGTGATCAGTGTTCCCACCAAACCATTGCACCGCTGCAATTCGACAATCCCTGGAATGGCAACATGCACATGGCAACGTGAGTCACTGTATGCCTCAATGCACATGGCATTTTGGCACAAGGAATGCTCACGGGACCCAACCAGGTTCCAATGAACAGGTTTCTTGCCCCCACAAGACACCCATGTAGCATCCGAATGGAACCCAATTCACCGGGTCAAGCTTTCCCAAGCCCCGCGAGTTCATCCGTCAAGATGCGGATGAGGCACACCTGGAGGACCGCCTCCTCCTACCGGAAGAAACGATCACCAGATCGATTCTATCAACACACTGATGAACAAAGCCCCCCTTCGCACTCAGTTGGGATGTAGCAAACCCCACGAAAACTGGGACAAACAGCAGACCACCTAATTACTAACTGGTGCAAGAATTTGTCCATGAACAGTATGTGGTAAAAGGGTTTAGCATCCTTCGAGTTGGACACAACACATGTGTATTTGAGATCTGCGCTACTTTGACATCGAATCGAATCGCTGCACAGTGCAGCAGCCAAACTTGCTGTTGTGTGAGAGCAGCCGCTGTACCCTTATGCAAGGTACCCGAAATGACTATGTCTTGGTGGTACACAGAAAATCCAAGGTTCACATCATGTGTCATATGTTTTCTCACCCGGAAAGATTTGAGACCCCAAACGTGTTGCAGGATTTGCAGGTGCCATCTCCGATTTCTGGAGCTGGTTTCCCGTCTGTCAGGTTCAATGTGTCGTGCAGGATCGGATCCCATCAAACTACGTAAGCATGAGATGCATGTTGAGATCTAGCTGCTCAACCCCAAAACGTGATGGCTGCAACAGAGCCATTCCAGAGGTCACCGAATGCCCCTTCAAAATTGATCGTGATTCTACTGAAACTGCCACTGTGGGAGGTCAACAAAATGGGTTAATAAAGGGACCCTCGCATTATAAAGGCCTGATTCTAGACCCGAGAAAACCCACAAGAGAGTATGGAGAACATGTGGTGCCTCTTTGGCTGGCTTGGCCCAACAACAGCCATCATCGGGTTCCCTCCCACTGACCTTCAAGAAGAATCCGGGAGTAGCTGGCGGAAGTGTATCATGCCTTGTGCCCAAAGGCGCGCACAATTCGCAATACATCTGAAGCGATTCGGGGATCTCCTGCGACTTATGGGCATATATACTTCACCTACCTAAAATCGGAAATGCCTCAAGTAAGAAACCTGCATGAGTGATTTCTGTTGTTGTTTCTGTGTATGGTCGAGCTGCAAATTGCCTAGAGTTCACACCATTCACCAGGGCTTCATTGGTTCATGCCAGAGCTTTATATCAGCCCCCAACTGACGAGGCCATGTCATCCCCTTTAACCGTTGCTCATATCCTTCTGGAATCGACGGCATTGGTACACGATTAGAATCAAACTGAAACAACCACCCTCAAGGGACACCAATGTGGATATACGTCAAAATAGGCTTGACCCAACAAGTGGCAGCTTTTTCGGTTTCCGAAACACCGACCCCTGTGGCAATGGAATTCAGAAGGAACACCCCCTCCAAAATGGGTTAGACATACATCCAACCATGGAAATGATGTCCCCCACAGGTCCAAAATCAAAGCTCACCCCCTCAGGGGCGACCCCTGTGAAACGCCGGCGGGACCGTCCTCGGCCAAATCCGCGAGACGCTGGCCGTCGTGCAAAGGGATGGGGCCGACCTTGGGCCGGGTGTTTCTGTGGCCGGGGGGATTGGGGGGGGGGGGATGGGGGGAAAATAAAGGGGCTCCTTTTGACGTGTTGGGAAAAAAACAAGTTGGACAAGTGCAGAATCCAACTCGCTCTTAGGGAGTCCTGCAATATTTCCCTCCACATCCTAAGTTCGCCTAAGTCAAAGGCAAACCATGGCAGACCCTGGACCGTGAAACAAAATACAGGGGGCTAAATAATTACAATGGGGTCGGTTTGAGGTATACTATACAACCAGTCTAACTCATGATCATATCATAATCATAGTTGCAATTAATTATGTAGTCCCCTATCCTAGGCGGTTTCCTTGTGAGCTCCCTTTGAACATCAACCAGAGGGGGGCCCACCAGTAGAACCACCCGGTCGAAAAGTACGAGGAGACTTATCAACCTGTTTGATGCCACCGAACTGATTCGGCGAGGCGGCCACTAGGCGCTGCTCGCGCCGCGGCAAATGCAGCGCCTGCTGGATGGCCAACTTCAAGTCCAGCGCTGTTGCAGTGCCTCAAGCGCGAGTCATAAGGCAACCCATGAAGCTGGATGCGGACCCACACGCCGAGCTCAGATGGGTTCTGCTCAAGATGCATTCCGCCCTACCATGTACAGCGGAGCCGTTGAAACCCCATTATTAAAACACACACACACACACACCTCAACGCTAAAAGTCACGCCCAAAGGCACAGGCCCGCGGGCTGCCGGTTCAAGCCCCGCCGGCCCGTCAATCTGTTTGGAGATCTGTTCACAATACCCTGTCAAAAGGGGTGCCTGAACAAAAAGTGCTCTCAGAACGACTTGACCCCAACACCCCCGGAACCCGTCCCAACGAACCCTTCCAGAACAAGCCCCCAACCCTTTCAGCTGTTCACTTTTAGGGGGGCAAACGTCGTTTGCGGCACCTTTGGTGGGCGCCCACCGATGGAAACTGAGAATTTCCAAGGCGCTCGGCAGCTCCAAGAAGCTCTCGGCGCCGGCCAGCGTTCGAACACAGATCTTCATGCCAGCTTCAGGGCTGGTATCCGAGGTCAGTGGTTGAATATGTATGCATCTCTCTCTCTCTCTCGCTATATATATATTATATGTGTATACTTCTTGTGTCAGGTACTGTGGGTACTGTAATGAAATGCACTCAACTCAACATAATGGAATGCAATGCAATGCAATGTAAAATACACATGCATGCATGACAGTGGCAGTGTAATGTATTGCAATCATTGCGGTACGATGCAATGAGTTCTACCGTAGCGTACGTTCCAAAAACTTCAGATGAATGGACTGGCAACAACCGGTCAAGGTGTTCGAGCGCTAGTATGTACCGAACTTTGCGAGTCAACCACAATGGAGAACTCCCATTTGACCCCAGATCACCATGTGATATCGGCCACAATCGTTCTAAACCGATGGATAAAACGGCGGGGTCCAAAGCGTCGCGCAAGATCAAGGGCTGCGAGAGTGATGGCATGAGCCAAGAGAAGTCAGCGAAGACGCCGATGTCCCACGCAAACTGAAACCCAGGGCTGGTTGAGTGAGGAGGGGTCTACCATTGAATATCCACCAGAAAAAGGGGATGGTACAAGACACGACTCCTGTGTTGATGTACCTAAAAGGATGAACGTCAAGGTATAAGTCCACCTTCTGGGTAGAGTTGCTCTTCACATCCACACATGCACCCCAAAACCAACTCATGCCCTTGTTTGAGGTTGTTTTAAGGGAAGCCCTCCCTTTTTGGGCTCGAAACGCATCTGGAGACCATACACCATCCATTGCAGCCAGTCGTCTTCTCATCTCAAAACCGCCAACCAATGCCTCCCAAAAGATCGAGACAATATGGCCCTTGACAACCCTTGGCTCATGGCCCACGTCCCGCGTCCATGCGGTTTCAGGGACAACATGGAAGTGCACAGACACCTGAAAGTCATCATTTTGGAAAGGGGGGTCTGTGCACTCATATGTGATTTCCTGGAAATCCACCAGGTGTTGCTCTCCAAATGGGTCGAATGGTATTCCCTACATGGATTGTGCGCGCTTGTGTAGCACTGGTTGCTTTCCATTCCGAGCGTCCGGCCAAAGAGCGAGTGATTGCTTCTGAGGCCGACGGCCATGGCAGCACAATCCTCACCGAAGTGCAAAGACTGGTGAAGCTCCGCCAGGCTGGGCTCAGTGTGTGGCAAGACCAACATATGAACGGGATATGCAACTTAACCTTAGCCCCAGCGCAGGTACACAAAAAGACTTGTGTGCAGATCCTGCTTCTTATGTAGCTACGTAGCCTAAAAACATAATTTCATTCTGGAGGAGACCCCATCAAGATCGTTCATGAGCGTCATCTCTGTAAAAACACTCTTTCCGGGATTTAGAACTCCCAAAATGGGAATTGGGGGGTGTCCATTGCGCGCAAGCAAAGACCCACCCTGCACTTCTCCTCCGTATCGAAGCCATTGTAGGAGAGATCCTCAGTGGACATCTGTGCAAACCGACCTTTCCTCCAAAAACCTAGGGGGTGATTCTGGGAATTCATCCCAAAGCTGGGGCCTAGTGTTGTTGTTTCTAGGGTTTGATTTCAAAGGGATCAGGGGTTGTTGACTAAATGTCCAGAGGTGGATGCTAGCGGTTCGACCTCAAAGAAATGGATTTACCTCAAACTGTAGGTGATTCCTCATTTCATTTCATTGGGGGGTGGATTGGGGACATGGGGTTCCAATTGAAATCGGTCGCATGCTCAATCCCTTTGTTTCAAATCACATGTTGCACTTGTCGCTTGCGATTCTATGGATCACAAATGTCCCCTGGACAAGATGTTCTTTGGGTTCCATGTCAAAACAAGTAAAGGACTTCCCAAAAGGAGATTCCTCTAAAGATGGACCCTTGCCTTATTTTTCAAGGGGTATGCCGCAACCCCAATCCTTGGGCCCCCAACGAGATGGAACAAGGTCTTGCAGTCTTCAAAGATGTTGGACAGCAGACGTGCGGAACCTGGCGCACGCGAACGAAAATTGGACAACGGGCAAAACCTTGCTTGGTTGCCTCAGCTGTTGCACCCCCCCCCCCAATGCGGCCCCCCCAAGCAACGAAACAGTAGCTTGATTTTTGCCCATATGGGCATGTCTGAAACCGTGAAGCGGCGGGTTTCCTCTTGAGTCTCGCTTTGGAACAACCCAAGAAGGGTACCCTCGAAACCCTTTGGTGAACCTTGAAATGAAAATCTCGTTTCAGAAGAGATCGCAGCAAACAGCGGATTGCATGAAGCGCAATGCTAATGACCTGCAGGCAAGATTGGAGCTTCCAAGCGTGAAGCTGAGACAAATCGGCGAGAGGAACATCGAAGCCCTGGTCTACAGCTTCCACTTGGGTGTCGGTGCCACAAAACTACGTACATATGTATGTCGAGAATATAGTGTATATATACATCCAGATATACATGGATGTATATCTGTATACATACACAGCACATCAATCTCTAAAGCAGCTAACAGGGACACACAAGAACTAGCAATAGATTGTCAGTCCTGATCAGTGCTCCGCAATACCAGAGAATTGAACCAAACCAACCCTCAAGCAAATGGAGGAACACTCTGATCGCAAAGACTTCTTAAGATCTCCCAACAGGGAGGGCAAGCCAGAGATTCAGACGCCCAAGGAGAAACCAAGAACATAGTCGTACAAAGCAAGCGGACTTGAAATGAAATCCGCCAGGCGCCAGGTAGGTCACCAGGGTGTTCAGGCGACATTTTCGGCCTCCGGTTCAATCAGAGCCCAAATTCCAGGCGCATGTCATGGCATGGCGGAGTCGGTTGCGATTCTGGATGCACTGGATCCAGTTTAAACGCCGGTCGAGCAACTTCGGGAAGCTTTCTGGCCTTCACCCATGCACCGACGCCAAAAATACCCCAATCTGACCATCCGGGGGTCCGAGCGCTGTTCACCGTGATTGTGGGAAAACCCATCTCTGCGATTCCCAAGTACTGTGGATGGGCAAAATCCTGCAGTTGGGTGCCATCCATGCTACCTCTTGCCAACCACCATGAAGTGGACTGACGGCTTCCCCGAAAGGAGAGTAGTCTTTCAAAGCCCTTCCGTCAGCTTCCATGATTCAAGGGAGGCCAGGTGCAGGATGTTGTGCATCATCAGGCCCCAACACCTGCCGGTTTCCACGCGAATGTCCCTGACAGCACTTGTTTGAGATGTTTAGCATACCTTAAAAAGGAAGGGTTCCCTAAAAAGGCATTGAAACCGGTAGCCACGACAGGGCAGATGTTAAATCAGGGACCCGGCGTTTCTTTTAAACTATGGTACTCGAAGAGAGCCTTTATCAAACAAGGCACACTAAACATGGTTCATCATTTTTGTGCTGTAGTACCCTTGAAAGGACCCTTGTTTAAATCAGGCACTATTGTGGAATGACAAAATTCTGACCAGTTGGCAGGTGGCATGTCCAACAGTTGCGAGCATAGTCCGATTTGTCCATCCACTGCAAACAAACACCCCTGCGAGAAAAAAAAAGGCAAAGCAAAAGCGCAGCGCAGCAAGAAGTAGTCACAACAATAGGCCCCTCGTTTCGCGATGGAGACGAACAACTCGGCACCCGGATCGGTTCCAGGGGCATAGTCGTCAAGCGGTGGCGGGGCTGCGGGACACGGAGCCAGAAGCCTTGCTCCCGAGGCCTTGGAGGTCGAAACGGTGAGTTCGAGGACTTTTCGACTTGCTGGCCTCATTATTTACCAAAGTCAACCCCGAAGTGGTGGGTTCAAGGGAAACAACCGATTCCATTTTCTGACTTTGATCACCCCCAGAAACCGTCAAAATAATGACACCAGACTTGGGTTTGAAGGTTTCCGGTAGGGCTATGGAAAGCCAAGGGTGTGCAAGGAGCTAGCCAATTGGGATAGAAAAGCCCCTGCAATGGAAGCGGGGTACCATCCACAGAAGGCTCACAAGCCGCCGCCAAATACTGGCTGCAGTCAGGGTGCCTGATCTGCCTCCTTTGAACTGCACCCTGCCCATGAATAACTCCAAACAGTCCCCCCCCCCGACACATCCAACTTTGTCAAATCCCTCAACAAAGCTTGCTCCACGACCGTGTCCCTCCACAATTTTTGGCCCAAATCAGGGCTGCACTGGAAATTCGATTTTCAGCAGCTTCTTCATATGTACTCAGATGCCCAGTGGCCATGGGAAAAACGGGCATCCGGGCATCCCTTTTTATCTAGTTGAGCATCCAGGGGAACCCTTGCCAAAAAAAACAAATCCGTAAAAAAGAACGAAATCCACTGCGTAACTGGGTTCAGTTTACCTTCAAAACAAGACCTTGGAATCTCGAGCCCTTCAAATGGGTGTTTGTCGAAGCCGGGGCCCCAACGGCTTGCTCTTGGTAGATACATCTACTAGATCCTCCAGTAGCGAGGTTAGAATAAGGGTACCCTTTTTTCTGTAGTCTGGTTTAGTAGGGGAACCCTCCCCAAAAAAAGGGTAAAAGGGCACTACTGGGGGCCATTCTGATCCCCGAAAGAACAAAATGCGCCAGCCTGAGACTGCCTGCAAAAAGTCCGCGTTTTGCTGGCATGGGGAGTCGACGGGCAACCAAAAGGCCAACAAACCGAAAAGGAAAGCCAAATCTAGCAGTGACTCCCCAGATCAAAAATGGAACCCGCAAAAATAACCATGATTTTGTTTGCGGGTGCTGAGCCACAAGTATCCGAAGGCGTCAAAAACTCCGAAGGATCAGATCTCGCTCGCTCTCTGGGAGTCCCCGGCGGTTCCACGCCAGGCCCAAGCGCCGCAGGCCGCTGTCCCCGTCTGCCTTGCCGTTCTCGTAGAGGCCCTCCAGCAGCGCCTGACGGCTTTGGGAGGCCATGGGTCAAAATCCAAAATTCCGTACCGGGTCCCAGTGAACATCATCCAATTATTACAATGGGTTCGAAAATGTATGGTGCACCTATCCCAAATGGTACCATTGGTTTTGAAGCATGGCCACATGTTCCAACTTAAAACTGGGCTGACCGTTTTCGGATCCCCCGCTAAAAGTGGCGAACTTTTAGTGAGTTAAATGGAAACCACTAAACACTAAAATGCTAAAAAGCTGGCCGGGAGCCACCAAGAAACGGATGATAATATGTTCGAACATCATATTGGTAAGGAACAAAAAATGCACATCAACACAAATTTGGTGGTTGGCTGTTGGCTATAGGCTATATTTGATTGGAGATGTGTTTGCGTTTTTGTTCGAGGGTATGTTTGTTGGGATTGTTTTGATTGTTGGGGATTCTTCTCAATTTTCGCCTGGAAGGGGCAAGTGCGGTTTGTTGCGTTCTTGAGCTGTGAGACTTTGGAAGTATCTCATATTACGCTCAAGATGGTTGTGTGATTTGCTTGTTTGCGGGGAGATGCTCAGGGCCAGCACAGGGAGTGAGTCTTTGGTGTGGTGTACGCTTCTTGGCTTTGCGTGGTGGTTTGCGCGGGTCTTGGACTCATCAGCAGATGTTTTGGGACGGAGGCACTGGCGGCGCTTGCTCACTCGCTCTTTTGTTTCTCTTTGTTTGTGTTTTTGTTGGGCTTTGCTTGCTTGTGTTGTTTGGAGGCTCATTTGTCGTTTGGCTGCAGCTTTTGGCCATGAGGACTTGTGTGCTGTAGCAAGACCTCGCAAACATGAATGCTCAAAAAACTAGAAGGGCAACTCTGGTGAAGAACACTAGTCCTCCTCAAACAGGAAGTTGAATCATTGATAGATGATTTTGCCTCAATTTCAATTGACTCACATCAAGCCTCCGTGCTTCAACTGACACTGAGCAAGTATCCATCATCATCAGTGTGCAACGAGCAACAAACAAATGCAGGTACTAACACACACACACACACACGTACACGCGCAAAACCAAAGTATTACCGAATCCATCAGAACAAGGGAAACGTCTGGATACCTCCAAACTAAGTTTCCTCGATTATCGATGTTTGGGCCAACTGATTGGATGTATGTCCCTGCCCAGCCATTGTGCGGCTTGTCCCACCAAAAAAACAGAGCTGTGTGATTCTTGCCCAACAGGATATTCCTCTGTGTATGTAAGCTAACCAAACGGCACCCCACAGAGCAAGCGATAACTCTTTTATCCAAGCATTGTCTTGGTGCCAGGGACTCATCTTCCCCTGTCAGCTGTTCACGGCTGGGTGGGCCCCATGGGCCACCCACCACAAACTTTCAAATCCAAAGAATGGGTGTGCAGACTGATAGCGCCCGCCCTTGGGCCGGGGCCAAGGACACCCAGGCCCTAAGGGGGTCTGCCACCAGGGGAAGTGAGTCGCCCACCGGCTCCGGTCACGGGAGCATGGGTGGGCCCACACTGGGGTCAAAGGCCTCTCCATTCAGGAGACGCGGAGGAAAGGTAAATTTTTCGCAGAGTTCCTGTTTGGGGACTATTCAACGGAGCAAAACCGGTGAATGCTGGGTGAGTCAAATCGTCAGCCCATTGGTTGAACTCGCGCGGCACCTGATTGGCCGCCAGAAGCCATGGGTGTGGAGCAGGTGGACCAACTCCATCAGTGTAGGGCTTCTTGGACCCCAGGTTAAGCATCGCCATGACATTGCCCTGGTTGTCGCTCCCCACCGCGAGCCGAGGCCCCTTTCTCCATCGCTTTGGTGGTGTCCGCGCGCTTGCCCTCCAGGTACTGGTCAACCGCTCCAAGTTGACCTTCCTGAAGTCGGTCGCTCCTACGCTAGCCACCTCAGCCTCCGGAAGGGACTGCATGCCCTCCTGGATGGAGATCTCCTCCGGGGACAGCTCCCGCGGAGCGCAGGGCCTCATGGAGGGCCTCCTTCTTCTTCATGGCCTGGTCCACCTGCGGGTGGTACAGCTTGATTGCACCTGGAACCTTCATCGCCTCGTAGCGGCCTGCCCCGCATCCAACCTGCGCATGCGCTGGGAGCCAATCGCGGCCTTGTTCCTCTGGAACTGCGAGGACCACACCTCCTCCTGCCGGAGCTGGATCTTCATGGGGACATACGCCTCCAGGATGCGCATCACCAGGTCCCGTCAGGTTGTTCCCCACGAACTTGTAGAAGAGCGAAGGTCCACGTGCTTGAAGTAGCCCGGCTTTTCGCTCAACGGCTGAAGGCTGACCAGCTTGGTCTCCGGGGCCTGATTCGACTGCGATGCCGCCACGGATCCCTTCAGCTTCTTCGTGGGCGGGGCGTGCTCCTCCGTGGCTGCAGTGGCCTGCTCCTTGTTCACCGTGTCCGTCTGGGGCACCCAGACCGGACATGGGGGAGTCGAAGGCCACCTGCAGGCGCTCAAGGGCGTTGGAGAGGTCCACCACCACATTCGCCACCGTGGCGGAAGGTGCGGTCGATGGCTCCTGCAAAACCAGGCCCGCCGCCACGGCTGCCTCACGTGCGCGCATCTCCTGCGCTTCCTGGTTAGCCATCTCCACGTCCTCCGCGGAGAGCTTTTGTTCCTCGACCAGCTCGAAAGAAGTCGCCGAGGTTGTTGAAGAAGCCATGGCTCAATCTAGAATTGAATGGGTCAGTAGGCAATCAGTTTCCAGATCAGAAAAAGGGTTCCAGGAACCCCAATCAATGCTTGAGCCAAAATGGCAAATGCCATTATGGTCAAGCATTCCACACACAGTTCATGTTTCCACACGTTCCAACATTAACAAAGAAACGAGCGGGATTATTTGTTATCAGTTCAGCATGAGAAGAGAACACTTCTTGCCGATCGAGCGTCGGCTCTGTTTCCGTAGGCTAGAAATTCATTGGACATGGAAAAACCATCCGCGGACCCTTCCGCATCCGAAGCCGAAGAGTTCATCGTTGGCTTCCGCAAACCCTCGGCGCATGTTCTACGAGATGCGCTGCGAGCATTGGGGCAAAAAGCATAGTCTGCCTAAGAAATACGGAAAGTAATGTTCCGCCTGTGCTGGTGTAGCGTGTGAAGGCTTGGGCTCTATACACGGGGCCGCCCTTCCGCGGAGCTTCTGCGAACCTTCCGCCGGCTGTTTTGGTCCTTGATGCTTGCTGTTCGCAACTGCAGCTTTTCTAGTAAGCGTTGCGCATCTTGTGTGCAACGACACCTGTCTGCTTCTTCTGCAATCGTTTCCCCATGCTTTCACATGCACACAAACCGAAACAACAAAGTTTCCGCAAATCTTCCGCGAAAGAAATCTCTTCCACAAACCCTTCCACCTGCTTCCGAGCGTGTGGAGTGGTGCGCATTTTCAAGCATCATGTCCTCCTCCATACTACTGTAGCGAGCAACAAACATTGCTGCTCAATTGGGACAAGCGTTGCTACCCCCTCCATGCAAATCGCTCTCGTGTCGAGGGAACATGTGTGAGTGTTCACTGGGGGATACGGCCTCTCCTTCCATACAGAAATGCTCCTTCCGCATCTTTGTCCGAGAAAAGAAGATTGCTCTATCTTTTGTTGGTTTTAGTCCAGCTGGCATGGCTTCCTTTCCAACCCTTGGCATGAATCCTGTTTGCAGCCACCCACTAAGAATGAACAGAACCAACAAACAAAAACAAGAACATGCCAACAACAGTCCCTGTGGATCCCAGTTACCAGTATAGTAT